CTTTCTCCTGTCGATACAAATCCTGGAGAAGATATCAGCAGAGACATCGCAGTACAACCATGCAATCAGCAAAACGATGATACAGCTGTTCCTGGAAAACAAAAATTCAACTTTTGTAGGTATTCCAATCTCGCTATAAAATGCAAAATGCGCCCTTCCTCCTTTCTACCTCTTTGCAACTCTAATCCGGACACCCACCCACACCCCGCAGCAAAAAAATAAAAACAAAGTCTATGAAGAGCCGCCTGTAACCTTGACACTACCATCCTCCATACCAAAATACGCAGCCACGGGCTTCTGCGCCAACCCGACCTTGCCGGCCGCAGCGGCCTCGACGCCGTTGAGGCCGTGGAAGATGCCAATCTCGACGATGCCGGGGATCATGAGCAGCTCCTTGGCCAGCGCGGAAACCTCCCACGCGCCGCTGGCGTTCCGGGCACTGCCGTCGGAGACGTCTGAAGAGAGGAGAAGCTGCGGGAAGGGCGCGTCGATGAGCCACATGCCGTTGTCGGTGACGACCTCGCCGGCTTTGCCGGGGGCGCCGGGCCGCACGGCGGGCTTGACGGCGCCGAGGGCCGTGAGTCTGTCCAGCACGTCGGGGGCGGACATGGGGAGGACTTCGATGGGGATTGCCTTCCAGTTTGTGAGCAGTCTCGCGGAGAGCTTGCGGTAATCTGGGATATTTAATCAGCTCAATTCTCAGGTCTTCCTGCCGGGGGGAAACTCACCAGCGACAACGACAAACTTCTTCGCAGCGATAGCAACAAGCTTCTCCTGGAACAGACACGCGCCGCCGCCCTTGATGCAGTTAAGCTCGGCGTCCACCTCGTCGGCGCCGTCAAACGCGACGTCGATGGCGACGAGCTTGCCGTCCGGGCCGAGGGGTCTGTCGTCGAGGTTGCACAGGCGCAATCCGGCGGCGCGGATGAGACCCTTTGACTGGCTGCCCGTCGGGAAGAAGGTCATGTCGCCGTAGAACGCGGGACCCTTGGCGGCGATGGCGTCGACGACGTAGACGACTGTGCTGCCGGAGCCGATGCCGACGTAGCGGGCGCCCGGGGCGAGATGTTCGTCTACGGCGCGGTAGGCGGCTGCCTTTTTGGCTTGTTCGACGAGGGACATTGTGGGTGTGGTTGTGAGGGTGCGGCGGGAGAGGTGGAGGGAGGTTGAGGTTGAGGTTAAGATTGAGGTTGATGGCGGGGTGACTTTGGGTGTGAGTGGTGAGCGGGATGGGGTGAGGGGATGGGTTTTGGTGGTGAGGTGTGAGAAGGGGCGTGGGGTGGTAGATGAGGACGAGAGGAAGTGGAGTGACGAGACTTTTGATCTTATAAGTCTTCTACTTGTGCTGATGCTAGTCAGGGACATGGAAGGCGAGGGCGAGGCGGGAGTCGGGATGAGGTGGTGGTGTTATAGTGGGATGAGCCATAAAGTTGCGTCTCTTGCGGCTGTCCGGGCTTACTCAGGAACCTGAATCGTGACGCGGGACGGGGAGAGTGGGTTCGGATCTCCGGCTGGCGACGGCTGGTTCCAGATGGAGGGTGTCGTGGATTCATCCCAGAGATGGACTTGGACAAAGAGGTATTTGCGGCTGGCATAGGAATATTGTGTTCGGTCAATTGTAATCCGAACCATTAAAAGGCATTGAATTCTCTGGTATCTGATTGATGGCTTTTGCGGTCACCAAGGCGAGTGCCGCAAAATCAGAGGGCTGATCCCACGGTGAGCCTCGGTGAGAACCCCTCCTTCACCGAGCGCGGGGCATAATCCATCAGATGTCAATGCACCTCAAGAACTCAGGAACCACTTCTTTTTTTCACCATCTCCACATAATGACGTACCCAACGGTGATTTCCAGGGACGTCTGTTCTTCTCCACCACGCAGCACCGACTCAACGCCCGCCGTTTATCGTCTCAGAAGTCAGAAACCGGATCCGCCGAATCAGACCGGGACGGCAAGACCTCGGAGGGGAAACCGGGAGTCCCACCGGTGTGCATCCCGGTGGAGAATTGCCGGTGGAGAAGGAGGGAAAAGTCTGTACCTTTCATAGGAGATTAGGAAGATCCTTCTCAAGGAACTACCCTCGCGGTCTTCGCGGGTAGTAAAAGGGTTTTATGCTTGACGACGTCATTTTGCTTAAGTATGGAGACTGGTAGATGTTCTGAGGGAATATGGATGGGTCCAACAAAGGCTTCTGCTGCTTTAGATGACGAATTTAAGGAACCGGGCGCGATGAAATAGCAAGCTCGTATTCGGTCGAGCAAGTTGGTGTCGATAAGATACAACTCAACGATACTAAACCAGGTCAGATTGCGTCGTGGAGTCTCTTGAGTATGATGTGGCCATCTCTCTGATAGGCTCTGCTGGATCCTCTGCTAGCGTCTCGCCTGTAAGATGTCAATATGCAAATCTTCTGGGGAAACATCTCAGTTCTGGCAAAGCCTTCGACTACGATCGTCGCACAGCGAGCAACGTCAACATGGATGGAGAGGATGCGAAGAACAACCATCATTATTTCGCTTCTCATTGATTTGCGATTGAACAAGTGCTGACAGTGTTGACGATGCTTTACTGATAAGGATCAATAACCCATCCCGCTTTAGCTTCTTGTGCGATGTTGCACAGATGACAGGATCAAAGGCAAGTGACGGACTGAGGGAGAGTCTTCACGTTGCTAATATAAACGCAGTAATTCGCGATCCAAAGTCTAGTGAGATCCTTAGGCATTGAACTCATTGTCTTCTTCGCGCTTCCGATAGTCATCAACCGAAGTTCCCGCATCAAAGTGAAGAGGATAATACTCATCCACAACCTCGATAAGCCCGTCATCTTCGTTTATAGTCAGGTCCAATCTTCCTCGATAGCGGAACGTCTTTCCGCTGGCCTTATACTGGCTCGTCAGGTCGTTCGTATACGTTCCGGTTCCGACAAAGGCGAAAGTCACATAAACCTTCCCACCTTTCTTCAACTCCGGCCAGACAAGCTCAACGTGCATTTCGAAGTCGGGGTTCGCATGTTTCCACATCCCGACGTGATCTGCTATGCCGGCGTGCCCTTTGCGCTGAACCCGGAAGGCGTGATCGTTGTAGATTATCGATTTCGAGTGGAGGTCAATCCACTGCTGAGGAGGTCCGTGGGCATTGGATAGTGGGAAGACGCCGGCCCAGATGGCGGCTAGGTCTTTGGGAGTTGGGAGGTTTCCTGGTGATCAATTCTCGTCAGCGTCTTAAGAGGTGACAAGATGAACCGGGAGAACATCATGGGGGGAGGGAGAAGGTGACTCGCTCTAGACTGAAGCCGACTTACTCATCACGGCCAAAAGTTTCTGGACAGGAGTTTCCAGAGGGACGTTGCTTGGATAAGGCCACTGAGAGGGAGACAGCAAGAATCGAGGCGGGCGATGTAGCTATTTAATCTTGAATACAGATCCTCTAGCGAGCTGTGAGACAAATATAACAGTCGAAAGCAAGCACTGTACTGGTGACGCCCAGAGTTCTTGCCGTTGGAAGTTGCCGGTCATCAAAGCTGGTCTTGGCACTATCAAGAACTGTGAAGTCTAGGTATACCTCGGCGACCAACCTGTAGTACAGGATCTTCCAAGGAAGGAATATACAATGCCCGCCATTCCGCGACAAGCCGATGTGCCTCGGCTGGTTCCTACAGCGGATGTATCGCGCTTCACGGCCCCCGGCTTACCATGGACCGAGGCCGCTCCGGTGAGCTGGTGAACAAGCATAGCTCTGGCCTGCAGGACATAAGTGACCAAATTCGGATGATTTGTCTTCGATATAGGTACTAGCAACAACTTTGGGTGTGACGGTGACCCAATTAATCTAGACCGGGCAGTCAAGATACCAAACCTTATTCTGATCATAAAAACACAGTGTAACCACTTGCGGTAACACAGTCTTACTTCACTCAGGACAATTGAAATGGCCTGTACCAATTCCTAGCACGTTTGAGTACATTTGACGCTAGTGAGGAGTCTGAAATTGCACAGGATGAGTCGAGCTTTTGGTCAACGACAGCTCCAGCGGCCGGGCGGCCGAGAAGACTTCTCTACATAGGCTGGAAACAGCCTGAACAACAAAGTGCATTTGTAATGCTAAGGTTCAATTCTATGAGATCAAAGGGTTATGTGCGCCATTGTGGGATATGGCATTAAGAGGGCGCTCATATCAGTAGACTTGTCATCTAATGTGTTCAAAATAATAAGCATAGATGAGCGATACACTAAGTAGTGAAAGAGCATTGAGACAAGTTGAATTTCTAAGTGATTGTACTAACACTGAATGAAGGTAGGCGAGTTGATCGATGGTTTAACGACACCACGTGGTTTACGTGCGGCCGAACCACCCGCCTCCCTCATCCCGCTCAATGTAGGTGTGGAGGATGAACTCAGTACCTGTGTAGGTAATAGTAAACACGGAACTTTGTCTTCAAGAGCCATGAAGTTCCGAGTTAGCGCATTTGGGAGACGCATTCTGGCGTCGCCTAATATAGAGCATATACTGGACTTGTTGCCTGATCTGACGATCTCCTTGGATGGCACAAATACGTACTTGGCATTGCATGATTGGAACAGACTTTGTGTTCGGCGTTGTTAACTCGTGTTCAACTGCCCGATAGATAGCATGAGTTTACGTCTCGAAGAACAACGACTGCATGGCCAAAAGCCATGAGCAGCCATGGCAAAGGGTCCAGTCAAACCGGATCGAATTTTCCTCATCCAATCACTGTGGAATGTTGCCATCGAATCAAAAATCTACTGAACTGTCACATGGCAGATGTCGACGAATTGGGCATGTCAGTCAGAGAGGGGTATTTGGCTATCTATCATACGAATCAGAAGGCTCTGCTCCGTCCCGTTCTTCACGCGATCACTTCCTCTTGTTATCATCCCCGTCGTCGCAGCTTTGTCAAGCAAACCGATTCCTTCACTTTGGAGGCACATTTTATAAGTCCACGTGCAGTGGCGAGATAACAAAACTCTCTCATTGCGATGGCAGCATTACCGCTTCTCTCCACCTCAGCAGAGGCCCTAGTCATGGCACTCGCAGAGGTAGGGGTCGCTACAGCTGCAGTCGCCCCTGTTGCGCCCGTTGCAGCTGCAATCACATTCCCCGTTGCGGCTTTGGCCGTAGGTGCTGGCGCCGTGGCGGTCCGAATGGGACTGGTAGGTATATGTAGGGCTACTTGTATCCTTGATCTCCATAGCTGATGTTTGTCCTTGAATGCACCAGTTCAATACCTCGGACACCCCTCCGAGAATGCCCAAGATTCCCAAGAAGATGCTGAAAAGACTGCTCAAAGTCTATGGCAAGAAGATTCACAAGAAGCTGAAGAAAAGAACGCGTTACGATACGAACAATAGAATTGTGTGGAATAATACAGACTTTCGAATCGATTTGAGACGGTCTAATAAGGTTCATGTCCATATCAAGACTTGGCACTTGCATTTCAACAAGACAGCAGGTAAGGACATCAGGGATATGTTTGAATTCCAGGGCTGCACAACGCATAAAAAACTGCTTCGGGGTGTGTTTGATATTGAGAATCCACCGGATTACGAAGCCTGGGTAGAAACAATTTTAGAGTTATATCATGAGAGACGCATCGGGGTCTCTGAAGACAAGGTTACTTCAGATATCTTGAATTACAAGATGCTTGGGCTTGTTTCCTTGCGAAAACGGCTTGTAGTACAGTTGAAGGATGGATTTCGCCTCAATTCTTTCAGTCTGCTACAACGAAAGACTGATTTCTTCGAAGGGTATCACTTGTAGCGGGCTTAGAGATTGAGGACCAGCGAGTGTTCTATTTGGAGAAATATAGTAATTATGTTGAAAGGAGTTGGGCTTGATGTTATAAAATGAGTTCAGTTAGATCACATCACGGACTGTCGCAGACAATACTATGACTAAGTACCGTCCAGATGATATCGCTCAAGGTCGGGAAAATATTAGCATAGAAATATTGAGGCTTCCTTTTACTTATTATTTCCACATTCAGCCTTTGAGGCTGGGGCTTCATTCTTTTCGATCGACTTACGGAGCCTTATTATAATCAAGAAATCTTGTCGACTAATCAAGTCACCAGAAGAAATGTGATATCCTGTTCAGGCGCCCACTAATTATGCCGTTCCTGTCAACAGCACAGGAAGCGCCCGTCTCGACTCTCGGTTGACGAGTCAGATCAATTTCTGTGCGAGGCAGTCAAGTGAATCAAAAAATACATTCTTCAACGAAGTTGGAGTCTAAGTTAACTGAGAGTTGCGCTGTTCGTTTCCGAAGACAAGCGTGAATTATAGGGCCAGTGCCCCTCTCCTTCAGTTCCATTCAGCCATTCTTTTTTTGTATAAATGTTATCCTCTCACTCAAGCGTTTAGCCAGTCAGCCAACAGTTTCACTGCCAGTTCTTGAAATACATACACGCTCAATCGTACAAAGGATTTCCAGCGCGTGACTAGCCCTCTTGTGGGATCAGCATGACTATCACTAGCTAAGGTCAGGTAGATAGGACTACGTAATCATATTCGGGGCTGAATCAATACCCAATCACTGTCCTTTTCAAATGAAAGACAGCGAGAAGTTGTGCCTGTATCAAGTTATGACTTCCAACTGCCTCTACACGGCCCATTCTTTTCACAAAGCCCAAATGGAGTATATTATTTTCGGTGGACAGACGGTCTTCCTCAGGTTCACGGTTCTTGCGGATCTTATTCAGCGATGACATTTCAGTGAAGTAAAATTGAAAAGGGACTAGTGAAGGCCGCAGAACTCCATGAGGCAGTGCTTGTGTAACGCCTCCGTTTCAAATGTTGCGGGTTCCTAATCTGCGGGAGCGTGAACCACAGATCGAACTGATATACACAGCCGCATTGCTGACATAAACCTCAAGGCAGAGGCATCATAAGGTACTCTTCCTGAAAATGATTGGCCCGGATCTCATACGGCCGAGTCGGTTCCTTCACTGAGCCTTTAGCTAGCCCAAGAATGATGGCCATTGGCTACGAGCTTGCTAGGGTGGGAGCCGGCATATGAAGTCTGCCTGGAACCTGGCTGGCGTTCGTTTGGCAAGTTAAACATTGGCATCATCCTTGACGGGGATCTACATGCTTGTCGCTATCAAACAACTTTGACTTCGACCTAGGGATTATTAATCTTACCTATTGGAAACACGAGGCCAATGGAGTCCCGCAGCTACAAGATCAACACGTTCAAGTACTACTAATAGAATAAGGGGCAAGTTTGACCATCTATTAGGCTACCAGAGTCCAGCTGAGAAGAAAGACATACCAAAGGGCATATTGCTCTAGCCCAAGCTCTGGCTTCCATGTGCTTACCATCCTGTCTCTTCCGACAACGTCTTTCCACGTCTGTTGTCAATGTTTCGACCCCCATGTTCTTACTGACATGAAGAAGGCCTCTTAGCTGAGATGATGCATATGAAATCAGAGCTTAGATAGATTTCTTCATCGAGACGAACCGCTCTAAATTTCATCCAAACGAATTTGCGAATTTCGGTCTATAACCCAAAAATGGTCGTCAACCGGTTGCATCCATGACATACGATGGCAGGTTCTCTAGCGTCAATGGCCATTGACATAGGGACCTTGACATTGAATGACACGTCGCATCGTTCTTGGAGTCATGTTGTCCCACCGGCTCCGGTCACTTACACAAGACTAGTATCCCTTGGACAGTAAAAAGGGGCGTTGTGGATTTACACTCTAGAATACTTAAACTTTGCCGTTCCCCCGGGTTCATTCACGATTGAACGGTGCGCAGCTAGCGCCTACCAATCTACTACGTAACTCAATCTGAAGATCTAGGTTCAGATTGACTTCTTGTCAATGTTGTTGCACGGTGAGTCAAGGTGAGATCTGCTAGCGCACCGAGCCATGGCACACTGACTCAACCAAAGATCGACTCTGACCACTTCTGACTCTACCGGATTTCGATTCAGAGATTTTCTTAGCCCTACAAGATTCGCGGCTGCGTCTTGAGCTGCATCAACCACGGGTCCCATTGAGGCCGTTCTGCTTGGCACCTGTTTCCATCATTAGGGTGCAATACAAGTGCTGGAATGAGTAGCACCTTGGCAGAGACGCAGATAAACAACGGCTCGGAGAAGACAAAGGTGAGACACGGCCGAATCAGCACCGAAATTGGGGGAATCACATTGCAGAATGATGTTCGAAACCATGATCGTCGAACCCGTCCCTGAGAAAGCAGAATTACTGCTTCTCATGAAAGCAGGCTCCAAAACATCGAGGTAAGCCCAATCAGGTTTTTTCCAGAAGAGAGGCCTCCATGATGGCCGATGATTCGCGGTCCAGCCACTCTCATGGAACCAGGTGGTCTGCATGTGGATGAGAGTCGGCGCGGATGGTGCAAACGCCGTAGCCGCCCTTGTCTTGATTGCATTGTTTATGGTAAGAATGATCCGTTTCGAAGGGGGGCCTAGATCATCGACGAAAGTGACGTTGATGAGCCACGGCGATCATAACAAGGAAGGGCGAAAATCCAGTCGGGTAGGCAGAAGGAGGAGTTGCCGCCAGACGTCTCGACTGATGCAGTGGTGGTGGCTGAGGGCGATTCTCATGAGCGAATCGCATTTCACGAACAGTGACAGGACCCCACTATTATCCGTTTAAAGACATTGACGGTTGACGGCCTGTCGTCTAGCCTTACGAGGATTGACGTTCAAGTGTCAGAAGAGACAAGGGGGGTTGAGAGGGGTCATCTTGGGTTACTGTGTTTATGACTTGGCGGTTTGGTGGGCAGGCTTGCGTTGTAATCCAGCTGTCATCTCGGAAACTGGAGAGCATCAGAGGGTTATCCCGGAGACAAGCGAGTTGTCAAAATTTGCGGGATACCGATTGGCTACCCAGAAGCCATCTCGGAACTCTGCGCTTCCTGGACTTTAGAGTTCACGTTGACAGAATCGCAAGAGCCAATCGCAATCAACTTGAGAAGTCTGAGCGGAGGGGCTTCAGATATAACAGCGGCTGAACCCCCCAGCAAATAAACGCGGCATGACAGCATCCCCCAGCCAGGTGTCGACAAAATTAGGGATCAGATATCGATTAATGCCTTCTGCTAAGTTCAGTCAGCGCTGATGAAAGACGGTGGCATCCCGTCCCGGGGGAACGAACACAACTCTTCACATATAGGTTCGCACTCCTATATGTGTGCCCCTGGTCAACGCGGCTGTGCTCTTCGTGATCTCCAGGCGATCTGACGCTGTAACATGCTTCCACAACGGCTGACTAGCGAATCGCATTCTTGCGGAAGCACACCTTTCCCTTCGACCCCCGCTCATTTCCCCAACTGTTCGTGCCACGAGATCCTTGGCAAGAACACTCAGGAACGCTGTCTAACGCCGATGTCAAATGGCTGACAATTGAAACAGTCGGTTGGTTGTCCCTAAATTGGGGATAGATCTGCTGAGGTTGTCAAAGTCTAACGCAAATGCCGACTAGGGGCCTTGCAAGTTGCACGCTTCTCACTTTCCCATCTCATGATTCCACCGCCGTAAGGCCGCTAACGCTCCTCGTCCGTCTTGGACGGAAGACTGCGCAAACAGCACCCGGCGTTTGGGGCCGCCGACGTTGCATCCCGAATCGAGCTATACTACCGTGTTTATATGACTTGCATAAGGTGTGCATTGGTGATTTGAGAATCTGGAGAACCTGTGATCGTGAGATACATAAACGTCGTCGTCGATCCAGTTCTCGCCAAGCTCATTTCTTCTGTGTCTCAAGCTCACATCAAGATACTTTGCGATAGCATCAACCACTCGCAACTACAACTCTTCCACTCCAACAACATACTCTTTGTCTGCAGGTATCAGGCGCCATGGATTCCTATCTCGAGGAGACATCTTACACCTTCTTCCCCAGTGTCGAGGGCAACAGTCCAGTATACACATTCGATTCTCAGTTCATTCCTTTCCCCGCATCAGAGGGCACAGAGAATTTCTTTTATCCATACTCATTCCCGGCATACCAAACATCAATGCCTCTCATGAACAACGCTTCTCCACTCTCCTTGGACACCGACTACGCAACCATCAACACCCCATTCACCGCATCCTCCCCCCGCTCAGACTTCTCGCCCATCCCCAGTGAGCCTTTGGACTTCGCATCACCACCTAGCACTAGCAGCGGACCAGTCTCGCCACGGTCACCCCCACAAGAGGTGCAGCCCGAGAGCTGGGGCCCGGCAGATCTTCACCAAATGGGTTATCTTGACGTCGCCGGCAACTGGCGCTGCCGCTACTCAGGTTGCTGCTCCTCGCGTGTGTTCCTGCGCGCGTGCGATCTCAGAAAGCACTTCCGGGGCCATGCAAAGTACTTCTTCTGCACCGAAAAGAGATGCCAGCAAGCGGGCGTTGGTTTTGCGACGCGCAAGGACTTTCAACGGCACATGGGCTCTCACAAGCCTGCTGTGAGGTGCATGCACCCGGACTGTGATCGCATCTTCAGCCGGAAAGACAATATGGTTCGTTCAGCCCATTCTTGTTATAACCCCATTGAAACACAAGCTAATTTACAACAATAGAGAGAGCACTACAAGAAGATTCATCAGAGGTTGAGAAATAACCTCTTCCCAAGGAGGTGCCGTCAGACCAAGAAGAGGGAATCGCAGGCTGCCTCACCAGAGTCCAGCTGCTCTACTTGCTGCATGGAGTGTTAAGTTTCTTCGATTTCGGGCAAGATTTTTTAAATGCATTGGCAAAACGGCTCAGCGGCCTCTACCATTCGTTATACGATTCATGAACCAGGGGTTAAGCGTTGTGTTTTCATGGAGTCTTCGGGGAATAGCATAGGAGCTACTGGATTCATTCTAGGATGAGAGCCCTGTAATAGATAGATTACTAGTATTTGATGCCTAATGCAGCCATTCATTACCTTCCGATTAGAATACCGAATCTCTGGCATAGGGACTGCAATCATTCCATAACAAGGTTTCGAGAAAACACAGTTAGCTAAGGTATCGATTCAGAAATTCTATCGGAAGTCGAATCCCGAAAGCTCCCTGTCTATTTCCGTACATGACAAGGTCAAAATGCCATTTCTAACCGGGCAACAAACTCCGCAAGCGGACTCCGCCAACGGAATTGAAGCAGCACTCACCTTGCTGTAGATTCAGCTCTCTCTGGCGATACTTCTGAAAATCTCTACGCCGTCATGGTTCGGCGCATCCCTCGGCTCCCGCGTCGTCGATGCTCAACCAAATGCCGGATGTCGGTGAACCATGAACGAAAACGAAGCACACCCGCATACAGACTAGCTCTAAATACCACTGATCATGGTCTCGATATTGTTTGTATCAAACTGTATTGCATATCTGTTTACCAGCTGTGCACGTCGTTGAGCTGTTTGAGGTTTGTCGAAAAGCCCTAGGATGGAGGAATTTCAAGGTCACATTCGCAACAGCTCTAGAACAAAGTCCAGTTTCCAAAGTATTGCCGTAGACACTAAGCCAGTATTAATTTAGTAATTGAAGATTATCTTAGATATCATGCTTCTTACCTGCATTCTCGGAGCCCGTGAGGTCCGTAGCACCGAAAGAGATTCCGATGTAATGCAACATTACATACGGCAAGTTTCTAATCACATCGGACGAGACTTCCGATAGAACTCATAGTTGACATTATTTTACCTTTTAGATGACACAAAAGCCTCCCGAGCCCCATTCTATCGTCAAGTGTCCTCTCATACCTTACCAATCCTAGCCTTTGTTTGAAGACGACATTTTGTTTCCATTCGAGCAAGCCAAACCGCAAAATCCAGACTGAAACTATAGCCATAGAAATGTCCAAGGCGGATATTACGCTCATTGGAGTCGGCAACATCGGCGCCGCAATTGTGAAAGTCTGGTTGAATGCTGGACTAACCGTCACCATGTGGAACCGAAACCATCAACGGCCATCTCTCAACGAGCTCGTCGAACAAGGCGCCGTTCTTGAGACAGACATCCAAGCAGCTATTCAAAACAGCAACGTAGTTGTATTGTGCGTCTCAACCTACGACAACATCATGGATGTCCTCGCACGTGCTCTTCCCTTAGGCGAAGGAGAACGCTCAGTCTCGGTCATCAATATCACAACTGGAACTCCCAAGGAAGCTCGCGACATGGAGATATTCCTGAAGAAGAACGGAGTCACTGCGTATTTTGACGGTGCCATCATGGTGACGCCGGCCTTGGTAGGCACCGAACACGCTTCAATGTTTTTCAGCGGCGAGAGCGAGGGCGAGTTCGCCAAGATATCTCGGCGTTGTCTGGAGCCGCTGGGACAAGTCCACTACATCTCTGAGGATTCTGGAGCAGCAAGCTTATGGGATCTCGCAGCCCTAGCTGCCTTGTATGGAACCTTCACCGGTGGTATCGTCGCTCTCAACCTGCTCAAACGCCAAAAGCCGGGAAAGAGCAACGTGAAACCCTCGACAACCAAGGAACCGATGGAAAAGATCGTATTGCCGCTGCTTTCGACTTTCTTATCCCACCTGTCCGATGTTGCCCAATCTCTGGATGAGGGAACGTGGGAAGAAAACTTTGGGAATCCAGCCTCGATGCAGATCAAGGGGCTCGAGACGATTTTGAGAGGCTTTCGCGAAGAGAAGGTCAGCAGCGAAGGACTCGACCTTTTCCATCGCATGCTGAAGAGGTGCATTGGAGAAATTGGAAAGAATGCCGGCTTGGCTAAGATGGGAACGTACCTACATCAGTAATGGCACACATCTTTGCCTCGCCCGTTTGGCCAAAGCCACGAAAACTTCATTGTGTGTACACCGCTATTACAGGTGAAAGAGAATTTCTAACAAGTCTATTATTAATAATACAAGAAGAAAAAAACAAATATGTTATTATCCCCCTCTTTGCAATTCAGCTCTCGAGGCATCGAGTTCAGCCACAATGTATCGATAGAGCTTTTAAGTATCCTTCGTCATGATATTATTCTGAAGGCATTTAAACAATTATGCACTCAAGTCTGATCGAAATTAGACGTTGATGCTGGTTCCCACAACCTCCGGAAAAGCAGGATCACCCGCCTTAGAGAAGACAGACTTAACCCGCTTATGCAACACCAAATCAGCAAAAGCCCCAACGATTCCAGCAACGACCTTTCCAATCCTGCCAAACTCGAGAGTCCCAAGTTCGCTCTCCAACAAAGAGCGTGCTGCTCCAGGCAAAGTAAGGTTCAGTGAAGAAATGAGGTTGGGGAAATCTGTGAACGCCCCGTGCGTGGTGTTGCTGACAGTCAGGAGAGCTTTTGAGCCTCGCAGAGCGGGAAAGAAGACGTCCCAGGTCGGATCATCGGTCGAGTGTCCCGGCCGGCCAACGAGAGTAAAGGGCCGACTGAGACCTGCGTTGAGTACGGGGTCGAGAAGCTTGCCGTCCAAATTGATGCCACCTAAGATGCGCGAATCTTGCAACATTGCAGCCGCCGCCGTAGCGCCCCCCAAAGAGTGGCCAAACATAATCGTGCGCTTGAGGTTGACGCCATTAATGGGGTTCTTTTGAAGATGTGAGAGCACAAAGGAGACATCGTCAGCTCGAACCTGGAATTCTGTCAGCTACACGTCGGCTACGGACTACTCGGGGTACAACTAACCTGGGTGAGAGATTCCAACTGTGTGGTATTGTCGGTGTCGAGACTCACAGCCTGATACACGGTTCCATCAGGAAACTCAACAAAAGAAGGGTCGTAAGGGTGGTCGATCGTAACGACAGCAAAGCCATAACTGGCCACCTCGCGAGCCATCGCGCCGTAGAGGAGGCGTGGGTTGCCCCAGCCAGGGGAGAATAGCACCAGCGGAAAGTTCGAAGGAGGACGCCTGCATGAACGTGCTCTAGGCTGGCAAAACTCCATCTCGAATGAAGAGAAGGTGCCGTTGGGTAGGCCGACAGCGACGCCCAGCTGATCGTAGGCCGCGGCCACGAGGGGCGTCATGTATGGCACTCTTTCTATGCCCTCACAGGAGTTTTTTGCCTTCTCAACGGGCATGAAAGTCGAAGTCATAACTCGTCGTGAGTGCGTGTTGTTGACTGGGGCGTAAGGGTCAAGCCTGCTGTCATCGGTCAGGGCTTCCACCGACATGGAAACCGCGTAAGGTCCAGTTGGTCCGTTGACGAGAATCGCCTGAGTCGCTGAGGCGAGAACGCCTATGATCAACGCCGGGATCATGATGCCAGAAGTTAAAGGCTAGAAAGTGGTAGTGAAAGGTTTGATTAGGTTCTCGGTGCGTCAGATGTAATATAATCAAGAGAGATAGTGCTTGTCTGAGTTGAGAAAGATGAAACAGAATGAGAAAGACGATGCATCTTATACTCATCCATTGTCACTTTGTCCTGCCCATTATTACACTCGAAGACCCTCTCGCGTGGTTGCTTCCCATTTGAGACAAGTCTAATTAGGCCGGGCATTGTGAAAAGATGGAAAAAGAGAGTAGCTGCGCCATAACTTGAGTCGGAACTTTGAAGACAACTCGAGGCTTTGGCCCCCACCTCTCTAGGCACCACCTCAGCTTAGATGTTGCCTGTTATTCAATTGGCCATACTACCCCGTTTTACTGGAGATTCTTGCTTAGCGTCGCTCAATTGCTTCCGCTTTGGGTTTGGTGAGTTCGGGGTCTTGATCCACTCCCCGACGATCTCAACATCTTACACAACTTGCGCGAACCTTTCGTATACACACTCTCTCTGTGATGACTATTCTCGCAAATTTTGCGGCGAGTAACAAAGACTTTGGGCCATACGAAAATCACAGGTCTCTCATGGTATTCTGGCAAAACAAAAATGCATCTTGGGCCGTTCGACCGTCGGACTAGACGTTCTCGCTGCGCGCCGTGCGCTACCAGCCACTCGAAGGTACGGCAATCCACCCCTGTCTTTGCTGTTGCTATTGCCGCAAGCAATCAGGCTTCTTCGAATTATGGTCTCCTAATTCTCTACGATCGAAGTGTTCCGGTTCAATTCCATGTGCTCAATGCCAGAAACGCTGCATTGAATGTATATTTCCGGCAGTGTCGGCTCCGAGCAACGGAGCTACAATCCGGCTAGCCAAGGGGAAGCTCTTCACGGCCAAGTCTTTCGCAACGCCTGTCACACAACGACCTGTCCCGCCGCTCTCGGATGAGACCATTACTTACATCTTTTATTTTGATATTTTCATACGCAAGAACAGCTTCACCGGTCAAGGGCCTGAATACGTAGCAGACGTTCAACAATTAGCCAAGACTTGCGGCCAAACAGGAAGAGGCCCACATAACCATCTGCTGGACGCAATGTTGGCTCTGGGTGCTATGCAAGCAAATATCCTTGGCGCATCAGGCTGCCACAATAGTCTGCGTTTTGCGCTTGAACATTACTTGCAGTCCATAACCTCTCTCCGAGGAGCTGTCTTAGACTCCACATTGGCACGGAAAGATAGCATTCTCTGGTCAACCTTTTTCCTAGGGCTATTCGAGGTTCGTAAAGCTCAACAAACCTATCCGAATGCTCTTGTATACTTAGCCTCGAGACTTTTTTGATAGCAAGACAACGAGCTAACATTGGCAAAAGTTGCTTCAAGACGCCTCTGGCCAGAAGTGGCTACAGCACATGGTCTTCGGCACATCTCAGGCTCTCATCGCCAGCGGGCCGTCAGCATGCACCTCGGGAACAATGCGAAAGTTCTTCATACAGGCACGAACTTTTGAAGTCTGTAGAAGCATAATATTCAACCAGTCCAGCTTCCTGGCAACACCAGAGTGGATGAAGGTGACACGAAATTTATCGGAAGAGGCAAACATTCAAAGTCGGGCTTCTGTAGATGATATCCTGAACATAATTGTCTTCTGCTCCAGGCTTAGAGCACGGTAAGTTTGACCGCTTTCTGTTTCTTAGTGTGATGTGCGTTGAAGAGATAATGCTGATATACAACTCCAGTACGGGCCAATTCATTACAACTTACGCCAGCTTCCCCGGAGTTGAGGTCCCATCCATCGATGCGCTAGAACTTGCCACAGAGGGCTTCTATCTTCGCGATGCACTTGAGACTTGGAAGCTTGATGCATCATTTTCTTCTGCCCAACACAATGAGATGCTTCTCGCAATGAGTTACTACTCGGCAACAAGCATATATCTCTCTGGAAACTATGACTACGACCTACATCACTGGCAAGCAATGACCGTTGCGGTACCAGTGCTAAGCCGAGATGAGATATTGAAGCATGTTGAAGACATCTTACAGACAACCAGGGAAGCGCTTCGATCCTCTACTCTATCGCCGCTTCTGCACCTTTTCCCACTACGAGTAGCAGGGGCAAGGTCCGAAGAACATTCCCAGCGGCAGGCCGTGACTGAGTGTCTGCTCGAAGTCAAAAAGCAATTCGCTGTTTCCGATGCGATGTTGGTCGAACTCGACGAGTTGTGGTCTTTAAGTCCCATTCAAACACCCTTAGACAGCTGAATAATGTTGATTCCCATCTTGGTACGCCGTGTCGAGATCGCAAGCTTGGTTTGTGATCTACTCGGGTTTCTTGTAGTTCGGTGAGACTTCTGACAATTGCCTTTGGTGCTCCCCCTTCTCAATCATGTCTTTGATGACTTCGTCTGCGACCTTCATAGCCTGAACACCCGCTGGCGCACCACAATAAACCGTTGCTTGGAGAATCGCCTCGCCGATTTCAAGCTCTGTCAGCCCATTTCTGATCGCCCCTCGGATATGGATTCCAAATTCAGCCCAGCTCTTCAGAGCAATGAGCATGCCGATGTCTGGTGTAGGCGTTAGCTCGAGGGCATACCACCTACATGCATGCCATGCACAATTGCGGCAGGGCCCAGCTCGAATTAACTTACTTAGCAGGCTTCGCTGCTTGCGTTCCAGGCCAGGACGCGACCATATGTTTCCCCAAGCCCACCTATTTCGATTGATCTTAGATTGAAATTACGCTCAATGCATTTGTCGATATCGAGATTCTTACTCCGTAATCAGCTCTTGTTGAGCAAAGGCGAATTCGCTAGAGCCATTGCGCATCGCGGTCTCGACATAGCCCTCTCCAACGACTTCGCGCCGGTTCTTCAGACCAGCTTCAAACAGTTCAGCGCGCAGCTTTCTGCTATTTTCGGACGACATCTTTGCTCTGGGGTTTGCAGGAAAACGTCGGAAACGGGTGAAGGTTCAAAGACCAGTGCTACAGAAAAGCATGAGACCGAATAATACTAATATCTCTCCCCGTTTCACAAGGAACAACTCATCATCCGTGTTCGGTAGAGCTGCGGAACCAATTGAGGGGTCACATCCGAGCTTAAGGTGATAAAAATGACCGATGGCGCCGAATCGATCCGCAACCGGGGGAAAAGCCCACACCCCGCACTACCCCGATAACCCGCACGAAGTGTGAGGGCTATCCCGCGTTATCCCGTCTGCTGCATTCGATAGCTGCTCAAGTCTCAGATTTGCATCTCTAGCATCGTTACTGTATTCGGCACATCTAAGATCTTACTAAACCAGCTTAAATAAACTCCAGTAGGTCCTTCTTTGGCCTCTGAGCCAGCTTCCACTTTCCCTTATGTCCTTGCTCGTCTTGTTGATGACTTTCCTCGTGAAGACCCGGAATCTGCGCTCCTTTGTGGTTCCGCTGATTCTCATCATCATTATCCGGGTTCCCAGGCTCGGGATATTTCCTCAGATGCTCGACCGCCCAAATTAGCTCCTCGGAAAGTACAGGCGGCGTCCGCCCCTTGCCCCTTAGCGTCGGAAGACCGGCGACACGGAACAACCAGTTGAGCCACTCAAACGTCTCGCCAGTTTCCCAGGCAATGTCGTGGAACTTTCTGCCTTCCTTCTCGACGAGCTCTTCCCTTTCCCTCTCCCATCGCTCCTGTTCCTCAAGGGACGGCAATGCAACGGACTCTCTGCCAGAAAACACTCTTGCCAATGCGATGGCCTGATACTCAAAACTCCTGAACGTGAGAACCCTTGGCATACCAACAATCCCCAACGTCTGAAAGTCCTGGAAGAAGGTATGCCAGAAAGTCTTGATAAGCTTCCCACTTTTATAATCGTACAAGGCTCTTCCTCCATTGGCTTCCGAGTTCCAGAAGGGGTAAGAGGGTTTATAGCCTGTGCAGTAGATGATGTGATCGACATCGTCGAGGTATGAGTCGTCTTCAAAAATTACACGCCCGTCGAGACGAAACTCCTTGATAATCGGTTTCCAAGCGATGCCCGGAGGCGGTTCGTCGCCATCCCAGCGGGACTTGGACCTCCGGGACTGATAAACGGGGGTACGGACTGTCTGAACCAGTTCTTCTGTCACATCATGGCCAGATGCAGAGTTTCCGATGGTAACGATTTTCTTTCCGGTGTAAGGTTGTGGGGTGCGGTAGGTCTTGGAGTGCACGACGCGGCCCGGAAATTTCTTGATATACTCGTCCAGACCCTTGACGTGAGGAACCTGAAAGCGTACTAAGTCAACTCACATTCGAATAAGCGGGCCGCAAATTCATAAAAGGCTGTACTCACAAAGGGTACCGAGTAGTGGCCGTTGGCGAAAACCACTGCATCAAACACCTCTTGCCACCAAACGTCGACGTTACGCGCAGCGTCAAACTTGCGCAGAGTTAACCTCCACTGCTCAGGCCTGTCTTTGGCCGGAATTCTTGTCACATCCTCAACTGTGGTGTTGAGTACCAGGATTGAGTCGGTCTTGTGAAGGGAAAAGTAGTTCTCAATGTATTGTCGTGGAACCCAATGCGGCGCAAATGGTCCGTAAGCGAACCTGGAATCCGAAAATGACATCGCAATGTCAGGGACATTGGTACTTCAGGATGTCATCAGCAGCTCTCTTACGCATATCATGGGAAGTTTCAGCAATACTTACGTCAAAGAGTGATAGATCGGAGTCTGTGAGTAGCGTTCTCGTTGACTATGGGGCTTGACCTGGGGAAGCTCGCCCGGGATCTCCACTGCGGGATCGACATCGGGCGGGAGGCTCCCGGGTTGAAGTGGAGGTAGCTCTGACGGGCTTGGATCGTAGATCCTAAAAGATGGAGTCAGTCACAATGTTCAGAATAAAAACAAAAAAGGAACTAGTACCATGTTCCGCCCGCGGACTCTCTTCTTTCGAATACCTGGATTCTTTCAAAGTAGTCTTCCGCTTTGAAAGCTGCAGCGGTAACAGCACCTGGTCGATATCGGAGACAATTAGCCACTAATTTCATCTAAGTGCTTGCAGCGGATGATTTGCCGGCGGCTTGCATCTTTGCATCCGGAGAGCTGCCATGCGTGGCCCAAGAGATACTTACCCGCAGCCCCCGCGCCAATAATGGCTACAGACTTGATCTTCCGTTCGCCTCCCATTATGACAGTGCGTCCCAAAGCTCAGACCAACAAATTACGAGGAATGGCTCAATCCGTTTGTCAGTCAAAGCGGTCTCACAAGCACATTTACGGTGTACAAAGTATTTAAGGCACAAGAGTTCAGAAGGAAATGAACTTCGCAATCGAGTCAGGTCAGATCCATTTGTCATCTATCAGACGTTAAGAGGGGTTTTGGTTGGAAACTGGGTTGATCGGATGTATTCGCCATCTGTCGCCATCCTCAGAAGCGATTTCACCATCGCTGCGTCACGTGAAGAATCGGATGTCATGTTCGGCATTGCGAAGAATCAAGATGATAATTGATTCAAGAGGTCTGAACCTTGCCTTTCGAAAGTCAAATTGCTTGTATCCAGAATGATATCTCAGCTGAGTTTATGCAAAGAGGTCTTGAAAGCTTCTATCTAAGCCGAAAGCGAGAGGACCGAAGCGCAGTGTCTCCCAGCCGGGCCGACCCGGATGCCGCTATCTCGTTTGATTGAGCGCTCCGTCTCGCCGGTTAAAATTGGGACTCTCGGACTAATAGCTCCCGCTCAACAAGTTTAGTGATAGCCAACCAATGTTTTCGACAGACCGGCCTTGGGATTACCAGTTTCCAACTACCTTCTCGCCTAATATTGCTCATAAGACCAAAATCGAGGTCTCTCGTTTCGAAGCTGCTCTGGCGCTATTACTTCTACGCAAGACTTCGAATTCAGCGGAGTGCCGGTTTTGGAGTCCATTCGGACCCCGAGTGAGGTAGGCCGATGCGACCATATCGGACATCATCACATTTGAGTCGGTCGCCAGCTCAATCATACAACCTATTACTTTCCGTTCGCAGAATCAACAAAATGTTTTGATCTTCGTCACCACCAGATTTGGATGATTTCACACAATAAGTATGATATGAACACCAACGGAATATCGAGTTCCGATGCCAATGTCTGTTGTACTAGACAGCGAGTCGTACATCTGACATAGCGAGTCATTGAGGCATGTTCCTTCCTGCTCGAATCATCTTCAGACGTGAACCCATCTAGCCAAGGTAGGCGACCTCTCCAACGCAAGCGACAGAAATGCCATTGCATCTTCAAGTCGTACTCGAGGACCCCACACACACGATGGCACTCTGCAGCAATGCCACGAAGTTGGTCGCGTTTTGGTCGAAACACCGCACTCAAGTTCCCGTTAGGCACAAGATTCTGCCTTGTTGGACCTGATCTGGAAGCTCCTGATGCATGAGCAAGGATGCTCAGACAGGCAGGCCTCACTGGCTCAGGGGGGCGCAGCTTCCACAACCAACAAGGGCGCTTACAGCTCAACGTCGTAGGAAGGAAATTGCATCCCGGACGTCTCTCAAAATTGTGCTGAGACCGATGATTGCTGGTATTTATACCACTGAGAGGCCAAGGACTCAAGGATGTGGGCTTCTACAACATCTGCTCATCGATTACTCCTTCAGTTGCTGTCACTTGATAGGTTCAGATTTCAATTCACAATATTTCACCCATCAGCCCGCTTCATTTATTATACAATGCAGAATTCTCCACCGCTTAAGGTCACGAAGCGCAGGGCTCGGCCCGTGAAAGCAGTGCAGCCGAGCACAGCTTCTTCCCCTTTGGCACCGGCCACAACGGGGATGACGCCCGATCAGCCACCACGCCGAGCTTCAGTCAATGTTCCTTCTTGGAATCAATTCGCCGGCCCTAGTTGGACCCCAAATTCTGAGAAGCCTGATGAATCTGAGGTGGACACCCCGTCGAAGAAAAGCGTCCCCAGAAACAGATCAACATCTGCGATGTCGTTGAAATCGGCAAAACCTCCCCACATCGAGAGACCTGACAACCTTGGGCGAAATTCTGGCGACCTTGGCAACGTCACTCGGGCTAAGCCATCTTTGCACAGTTCTTACACTTCCCCAAGCCTAACCTCTGAAATTGAAAGACGAAATCAACGGCCTGTCGTACAGGATCGAAGTGCAAGCGAGCAACCTTCAACGCCAGCAAAGAAGCTTAGCGGCCCCCAAATCGACCGCAAACTTGAGTTCATGATCAAGGCCGGCCCTAAGGCAAAGTCTGCGGGCTTCCTCTATGTACAGGTCACCCAGCCACGCGAGATCAAACAACGTCTACTCAAAATCGGCGTCACCAAATTCCTTCCAGAAAAGCGTGGCAAAGACATTCAGTACCAGTGCAAACACCCAGAGTTTTTTGAACATGAAGATGCACCAGCAGTGAAATTCTCCTGGAACGGCTTTGCCGAAAAGCTGGTCCACGCCGAGTTGACCAACTTTTGTCGATCATGGGCCTGCGGCTGCGGAAAGAAGCACAGAGAATATTTCGAAGTGAGAGATGAAATCGCTCTGGAGGTCTGGAGCAGATGGACAAAGTTTTGTGAACAGGAGCCGTGGGATTCCCAAGGCAGGCTGTTGCCAATGTGGGAACATAGACTGCGGCATAGAGTTCGGTTCACCGACTCAAAACAAGATTTCGATCATGGAGAGCTTGCCAAACACTGGCGAACATGTGTTTTGCCAAGTTCCATAGAGCTCCTCATAAACGACACTCGGGTTCTCTGGAATCATATCTACCCCAATCGTTGGCATTTTGCTGCCGTGGCGGAGGCACTTACAATGGTTTTCATATGGCCAACTTCTTTCTGGACATCAATGTGGTGGAAGGTGGTTCTCGTTCTAGCTATGCTGGAGCTATTTTGCCTGGACGGCATGTACATGAAGGAGTCTTTTTCCAGCCTTCTGAGTGGAAGTCTTCAACGCGTCAAACTTTGGTCGCTATCGGACTTGCCAGAGCATGGGCCAGACCTAGAAGCCAAAGATCCCTCGCCAGCTGTCTCTTCTGAGCAGCTAGCTCAAAATGGGCTTCATGAAGATGCAGACACAGAGATGACGGAGGATGTTCCCAATGGCGAGGATGACGACATTGTTGATGGAGAGTGGGATGAGTCTGATAACAGCAGTGACGATGATCAGGTTATGGACGAAGATGTTCTTTCTGATCAGAGTCCCTAGGCAACCTCTACCAACTCACGACTGAGTAAAACCAAGCCTAAGCGAGTGATATTAGGCACAAGCTTCTTTCCGGATTACAGTAGTAGGCAGCGAAATTCCATAGTGATGGACCTTAACTGAGTCTCAGTATCTTGCTCTTAGTTCAAAGGAAATTTCAACTCCGTTTGGCCATTGCTATGTTGACTAATACTGCTCCTTAATCACTATGATAACAATGAGTCCGAGTAGAAGGGCCAAAAGTTTGAGTCTCACGGCTAGACATAATTGGAATTTGTACAACTATGTCATGATGCGCCGCCAAGGCGATATTGAGGAATTGTAAAACACCAGGCTTCCTTTCCAGTATTGTGAGGAAATTTGTCTGCTCTGAGTCCATGTTGATCATCGGGAGCTAGTTTACCCCGCTAGGCCGCCTAGCAAACGTCCCGCTTATTGTTTTGTACCTCTCTACTTCTTTTTTCCCAAAAGGGTAAAAGCCTAGCATAGGAATTACGTAGATACTGCCAAGATTGCTGACAGTCCCCCAACAGCACCCAATCTTCCCAATGCGGCTCGAAGCTGTGCCTTGTAGTCTGAGACAAGCAGGGCTGAATGCGAATCTGGCGCGACATGTAAGCTCACTGCGCATGCAATTTGTTTGCCAAATTGAGACTTTGGACGTCCTCTGTGGGCTCAGTCGGGCTCAGCTTTTCGTCGCCAAGGCGCCAGTTCCGACTTGATGGAATAAGTTATTGCGATGATTTGACGAATCAGCCGCATAGCCTCGATCCTCTAACTTAGAACCTTGTTTTTTGCTTGTTTTCTCGAATTGATAGCCACTATCCAGGCAGTCAATATCCTCTAGCCACTTCAAGCTGATCCTGTCATTATCGCTAACATCCATCTCACACCTCGTCGCACATATAAGAATGCAAGTCGGTGCAATAGAGGAGAATCGTATCTCCTGAATATTCATTCACACATCATATCAAACCATTTCAACTCTCAAATCGGTCACCATGAAATTGCAAAGTGCTCTAATCAGCCATCTCCTCCTGGGATCAGTCAGCGCCCTGATAGCACCGACTGAAGCCCATACCGCCCTACGGAGAGACGACCATAATTCTTCGGCGCCATCAAACCAGTCATCCATCCAATGGACAGAGTGTGACTTGGATTTTGGAGAGGCTGGCAACGCTGTTTTTGACGCTATGCCGGAGAAATTTCAGTGCGCCAAACTCGAGGTTCCGCTGGATTATACCAGTCTCAGTTCTGGTGAAACCATCCAACTCCAATTGATCAAGGCCAGCGCAAACAAAGAACCCTACATGGGTAGTATGCTGTGGAACCCCGGCGGACCAGGAGGCTCTGGCGTCGAGTCAGTTGCTGCTCTGGGGCTCAAATTGCGAAAGTAGGTCGTTATCAGCATCATTGCTTCTCATCTGCTAACTCACTGATTGTAGCATCGTTGGAGGAAATTACGATATCATTGGATTTGATCCTCGGTAAGTATCATGCCATTTTAGCACCCCGTCTTTATTACGATCATAACTGACACATTTACAGAGGCACTGGCAAAACCATTCCATATGTCTGCAACGTGTCATCGGCTGAGACTTCTGTCACCCGACGTGATTTTGATACGCTACCCAAGGGTGATATCTGGAACAGTATCAAGACGGTAGACTGGGAACTCTGGAAAGTCACGGCCGATGCCTGCTTCAGAGACTATGCCAAATACGGCCGCTTCGTCGGCACACCTTTCGTTGCCAGAGACATGATTTCGATCGCTGACGCCCTCGGTCAAGGCCCCAAGGTGAACTACTGGGGCGTCTCCTACGGCACCGTCCTCGGACAAGTCTTCGCTTCCATGTTCCCTGACCGCGTGGGACGTCTTGTCTTGGACAGTAACCTTATCGCCGACGACTATGCCGATACCACGTGGAAGACCGGCCAAAGAGACACAGAGCGCGCCCTACACCACCTCTTTGACGAGTGCGTCGAGGCTGGTCCTGAGGCCTGCGTACTGGCCAACTTCACCGGCGCCGACACTACCGGGGACAGCCTGATGAAGGCACTCGAAACTCTTCTCGAGGAGCAGATCAATGACAAAAATGACACCGCCAACGAGAAAGACGACATCGTATCTCTCTTCAAGATTTCCCTGTTGGCAGAGCTCTACAAGCCTCTACAATACCCTCTGGCCGTCGAAAGAGTCCACGCCGCCTTGACAGGCAACTGGACCCGCGCCATCGCCTCGGCAGCGAATGCACTACCGTCCGAATGGAACGAAGGCGGCACCTTTGGCGTCTGGGGCATCTCCTGCGCGGACTCTTCCTTCCGCGTCGAGAACTTGGATGATTTGTACTCTATCTACCGAACTCACTGGGAGGGTAGCTCTTTCGGCGAAGCCAGCGCCAGGCTGCGCATGCAATGCTCACGCTGGAGGTTCGATGCCGCGGAGAAGATCGACCTCAACGCTTTGAGGAACGTCAGGACCAGCTTTCCGGCTCTCATTATCAACGGCCACTGGGATCCGGTCACCCCCGAGAATACGGCATGGGAGATTTCTGCGCGGTTCCGGAACAGTCGGGCTGTTATTCATCACGGAGTTGGTGTAAGTACTTTCGTGTCATTTTCCCCGCAAGTATCAATGCTAACATGTCTTTCAGCATGGATATACCAATCACCCCTCTAGCTGCGTGGACAACATCGTCCGTGAATATTTCCAGAATGGCAAGATGCCCGACATCGGGACTACGTGCGAGCCGGATATGACTGCATTTGAATATGTCGCTTCCCAAGCAAAGAAGGCAGAGGAGAGTGAATAGTCGAGGGGTAGTCTAGCATTTCGAGGCTTTGTACTTACTTTATGCATCCGGAGTGGCTGTACGTGCATCAGTGCAAGTAGAGAAGCTTTTTGCCCATTTCGCCATTAGGGACTCGGCTTTCTCCCTTGTTTGTCTGTTCACTTCTTCTGGGATCACTTCTTCTGAGACCACTTTCTTTTCTCCATCAGAGAGCATCATCGTATTTATTCATTCCATCAGAAAACTTTCCTTCCCACGCTACTTGCTCCGGTTAGCTACGGGATTGTATAGTCTTACTTGAGAGTTTCCAAGTATCCCGCGTAATCCCACTTCTTGCCATCCCTCCAAAAGCCTTCCACCACCGGCCCATGTGGCGTATTACCGTCTACCGACACCTCATTCAGCCAACTCCAGTACGTCGTCGCCTTCCATCCATTAGTCTTCCAGTCATTAATATCCCTCTCCGGCTGCTTGTTGAAGACCGGCAACACATCCAGCAGACTTGCGTCGTGCGCGATGCAGACCATGACATTGTCCTTGATATCCAGCTCACGCATCTTTGCAACCGACTCGGTGGCCAGGTCAATATCTGTATAGACGGGGTGTTTACCTCCGCGAGGAAGCTCATACCAGGGCGTGGTAGACGCCGATTTTTCGTCCGACGCGTTAGGATGGTGGGGAGTAAAGTGAGAGCATGGGCACACGGCTTTGGACGCCCAATCTCTGCGCAATGCAATGGCCGAAGCGGGAATCCCATCTGGGAGCGGGGTCTCTTTCGACGGCCGGAAGACGCCCGCAAAATGGCAGATGTCACCGCCCAGAAAGACGAATGTGGCTCCCTCGGGGGACGAAGACGGCGTCGTCCGGGCGAGACCGCATATGTGCTCTGGCTGATGGCCCGGAGCCTCAAGAAGGTAAAAGGAACCGTCGCCGAAGAAGTCTTGGGCTTTGAACTTGCCCACCATCAGACCTGTGTCGAAGTTGGCTTCCTCGAGCGGTCGGCCTTCAAACTCTGCTGCCGCTTGTGGATCATCTCTGCCCCCGGGTCTTCCTTTGGACGAGAAGTACCCAGGCCCAGTAACCAGCGTTGTTGATTTGGGAAAGACGGATACATCTCCGCGGTGGTCAAAATGGGCGTGAGACCAGATGCAGTAATCTATATGGTCGTGTGAGAGAGAAGGTTCTTGGGAAGCAATTGAGAGACAAAGGCTCTTACCAATCGACTTTGGATCTACTCCTCCATCCGCCAACACCTCATCGATGCCCTTTGGTACGCTCATGCCAAAGATCACGCTATCTGGCCCCAGCACTCCTTGTTGGGCGCCCTTGGGTAGGTTCCAGTAGTCTTTTCGGACGCCGAGATCGAACATTGCCTTTTTGCCGAGTTTCTCATGTTCGAGGAGGAAAGCTAACGAGCAAAAGTTGATGACTTCATGCCCTTTCACGACTGGCTGAACGAAGGACTCGGCGACGCCAACCATGGCAGTTGTCGTATCGACAAGCTTCACGCGCACAACATTGTCTGATTTTGGAATGTTGGCCATTTCGTCGATTTTGTTGATGAATCTTAGTAGAGTGGGTTAACAAACTACGGGACGACTTAAGGGAGATAAAGAGGGGAGAGATGCCAAAGAAAGTTTCCTGAGCCGCATGGTGCCCCGACGTCATCGGTGATTATCAAATGAACATGTCTTCTCCACTTCCCCGGGTTTTTGCATCCAATGTGGAAAGCTCATTGCTCTATCACCACGCGACGTTGAAGGTGCAGGAAATACTTACCCGAAGGTGCCGCAAACCAGCCAGCCAGTGTAGAGTCGTGCCACCTGCAAGCCACAGCTGCAACTCCGTATCGTACCACCGGTAAGCAAAAAAAGTCTCTCCATGTACAAATGTCTAGCGGGGAGTCGAGAGTCCCTAAAATGCAACCTTCCAAACGCCTGCGCGCGTGCCAAATGCTCTAATTTAGTAATATATCGTACCCGTCTCCCATGATGCGAACCTCTTCGCTGCCGAGACCGTACTTTCGTCGCACCAGTTCAAAAATGATCAATCCAGCGCTTGTGCTGGGAACTTGGCGGATGGTGTTCCACCAGAAACCGCGCCATAGCCATTTTCTCACGCCCAACCCTTCCTTTGCGGCCTCTGCGCAGCATTCTGACCAGGTCTCTTTGTAAGCCCGGTAGTAGGCCCTCGCCATCCTCCATCCGTCTTTACGGTGTGCCGGGTCAGCTCCCTTGGTTTCCCTCAATTTCGCTGCCTTGGCGTCGAGTTCCTCGAGGCGATCCCAGTGCTCCACTTGCACGTGAGTCAAGGGATGAAGAACAACTTGTTGGGCAAAGGATGCGCTGAGTCCTCCGAGAAGCAAGAAGATGGGTTCTATAGCGTAGTGCGGACGAATGATGAGAGGCTGCTTGTTGTCATCTTCCGGTTTACCATTCTTCGCAGGTCGCTTTTGGGCCATAAAGTCAACAATATGCTCTTCGAGTCCGCCGTAGTACCACGAGACGAAGCGGTAGTATCCTTGCGCCTTGACGTATTCGAAAACGCTGAAGAACACGGCTGCGCCGAAACTGTCCTTCATGAGGGAAAGACCCCATCCCGCGAAGATGCCACGCACACCAATCTCCCTCAGCTTCTCGGCACTGAAGGCCCACATGCTTCTGGGTTTCCCACCCTCCGTTGGCATGAGGTCGCGGTGATCATACCGTGCCTGGATGGCATCTAACGGTGCGGCGATGAAACTCTGGAGACTTCCGGCGAGAAGTCCTGCGGTGAAGGTCTGCGTCGGGTGCGGTGGTGGGTAGACAGTCTTTGTCGCCCTGCCGCTCTCCTCATGCAGGCTGCCAAGGATCGTGAGGTAGCTGGTATACAGCACGGCCCCGACGCCCACGTTTGCGATGAGCGGCGGCAAGACTTGATTCGGGAGCACGCTCCAGCCGTGCTGCTTCACCGCCGACGTGAGCACGCCCGGCGTGGTGCCCCGCAGATAGAACCATGCCTGGTTCAGCGTCGCCTTCAGCTTAGTCGAGGGCTCCTTGGCGGCGGCCTGGGCGAGCAGCTCGATCTGGGCCTGGTGCACACTTCGCGCATAGGCGAGGTAGTCGACGCGGGTGCGGAAGAAGGCTTTGACAGGAGCGCGGAAGTAAAATGCGATGGCCTGGGCGCTCAAGGCGCGCACGCCGGCGGCCGATGCTGCGGTTGCGGCGTTGCTGCGCGGGTTCTTGTCCGGAAGCTGGGCATCGGGCGGTAGGACGGGGAGGACGCCTGTAAACGGGTCGTATGTCGTTGTGCCGTCATCGAGACGTCGTGTCATTGTATACTGCTTTTCATCGTCCCCTACAGGTGAAATATCCTGGATGAGATTCAGGTCGGCAAAACTTGGCATCGGTTGAGATCGGTTCGCAGATTCTCGATGTGATGACTAAGCGCGTGACCCTGATAAAGTGGGTACCTTTATGCCGGACGTCTCCCGCCTGTGACTGTCAGCACGGGGTACCTAAGGCAACCACATGATATCTCCAGCTTGAGATCCCATGACAACCTTCACAGTCCAAGATTTAACTTTTAGGCCTTCCAAGAGAGTTCTTATATCAGCATGAAGAATAATTCTGTTTTACCTCTCGAATTCGAAGTCCCAAAATGAAGAGGGGGGGGGGGGGGGGTTTCATGTTTTCGATAATACTTATTTCTCGATACGGCAGATATAAGGAGTGGTGCAACTTTTATACCAAACTGGGATCCGAGGTCACAAATTCTCTCTCTGTCTATATACGCATGTAATCATGTTGTTGATGGTGTACATATGAGACATGACCGACAATACTCGATCTTGGATGATGGGAAAAGGCGTGTAGCTATCGAAAAGGTTTTATCGAATTGTTAGAGAGCTCAGAAGAGCCCTATCTTAGTCTGGACTCTAATAGTAATAGCAATCGCACATATGGTCGGACGAGCGCCTGAAACTGTCAGTAGACAATCCAAAAATGATTCCGGAGAAGATAAACGCGCACCATATCTAGCATAGCCATGTTGATCGTTCTCGTCAATGCACCATATTGCGTTAGTCAGGCGTTCTTTGAACTTGTCTATTTGATCCTGGAAACCAACCTGGCCACATCGCTGATCACAAGCCCAGCTGTCGTCGCCGTTGCAGTTGCCGTTCTGTGGAAAGTCGTTAGTTTTCATCGATAGTTATTTAAAGTCTCACATCAGGGCCACACATACTCCCCACTCTCTAGGGGGTTGTTGGCAAACTACTCTGGCGATTTCAGCTGTAGCTAGACTGCTAAAAAGAAGGACAGCGATAGCGGAGGCTTTCATCTTGGATAAAATTCTTTGTGGAGTGTCATAAGAAATCACGATGAGAACTGTTATTGAAATTCGGAGGGTGATCTACTGAAAGTGGTCAAGAACACCGAGGGTATTAATAGCTTGATAGCCTGACATCGAGGGTTGCCATTGCCTAGGCATGCCGTTAATTCACACGCTGCAGCGCCAATAATCTCACTCACGCAACTTGAAGTCGATTCCACTCTCGAATCCTGAACTGTCCCAAATTGCCTCTTTACCATGTTTTATCCCGCACCCGATAATCAGTCCTCATACTGAAAACTTTGAGTGATCTTGCAAGTATGCGAGTCAGCAGTCTCAACCCTGGTTGGTGTATTGTATATAGAAATAGGTGGGAATGGAGAGATTGAGGGGCTCTTTGATCTGTGAATGGCTTTGGACATGATTCGAGGCTTTGATCAGTCGGAGGTTCTGTTGCACCGATGGGAATGTGTATTGGTCGAGAGTGATCTAGACGCGGATCCAAATTCGTCTTGAAACGTTGGTTCACTAAACACTCTTCGTGATCATGTTAGGAGTGGTTAAGCAGCACACAGGAGGTATTTAAACTCGAGTGCGTCCCCTCAGTCTCTGCCAATTTTCGAGTGGCAGAAACCTCTCGTCAAAAAGGTTCAAAGAGAACCTGAAGTCTTCTTATGAGACAGCAATCATAGACCCAACAGCCTGCTAGA